CACGTTGGTCTAGTTTAGCAGACATAACGAATAAAAATAATTAAATATTGAAGAACTTGGAATAAAATCCTTTTATACTGAATAGAAGCTAGCAAAGTCTGTAAGCTAGCAAACATTACTGATGTTATCTTTAAAATATTTAAATGAAACAGGAATCGTCCGCAGTTTAATTTATAACAATGCATAGTGTTAAATAATAAGAAAAATTCCTTTTCCAGGCTTCCATCCAGAACGGGTAAAACAAAATTTTTTAACGAATTTTATGATCGAAGGCTAAAATTTTCTTGCACCCTCTGTTCAAATTTCATAATTCCTATTCAATATGTTCATATGTTTAAATTTCATATGTTCCTAGCACATGAAGCTGTAGTTATAAAAAGGATATAAACTCTTCTCTTTAATATTATAAATTTCTCTATAAAGCAATACATTTTTATTAAAACAATGGTTAAAAAATATTTGCACTTTAAATTATTAAGAAAAAACTTTGTTTCAGCAAATGTATATTTTAAACCGAAGGAAAAAAAGCATGGAAAAAGGATAGAAAAGAATATTTCAAAAACAGAAGGCTTTTTCACATTTTCTGTTACGAAAGTTGTTATAATATAAACGATAAATTTGTATAACACTCGCAGAGATGTTTCGGAGCAAAAGTATGAGTTGCAAATGTGTCTGCATCTTTGCAAAACACTCAAAGATTTGAATCTTTCATCCTAAGATTTATATTGAGATGCGTTGCTAAGCAACATCACGTTTTTCTTTACTCAAATTCGGTTTCTGTGATGTAGAGTTCCTAATAATATTTAGCCTGATGTAAAAAAAAAATATATATATATATATATATATATATTTATGAATTTAGAAAATTCATGTTTTTTTTGTATATTTTTCCTGTGGTATTTTATTTATGAAAAAAATGTAAATGAAAATATTTTATTTGTATATTTCCGATAATGTTATAATTTTAATAACATAAAAACCATTTTCTTATATTTCTTGTTAAATTTTAATTGTTTTTGTAATAGTTATTATATCATTATATTTGTGCACACTTCGAATTTATTCAACGCCGACTTACACTTCAGGAAATTTGAGGAAAATATCTATATAATGTAATTTTAATAAGGTCATACGCTTCTTTTAACCTATAGCACCTAACATGTAACTAAATTGAGTTAGAGTTGAGCAAAAGTTTTCGACTTTACCAAAATCGTTTTCCATTTCGAATTCTAAGCCCTTGATTTTTCACGGGGTCTAAACTTGTGAAACTTTATCTTCTATTTTTTTTTATTTCTTTATTATTTTTTTTTCTTCTTGCGAGGCTTACTTTAATACAATAGTTCCATGACAGTTATTATATAATTATATTTGTACAGATTATTGAAGCCGGTAGTTGAAATATTCGACGCAGACTTACCCTTTAGGAAATTGTAGAAAATATTTTTATGATATCAGTTTGATTCGTTCAAATGCTTATTTCAACTTACAGGATTCTTGTAATTAATCGAGCTTGGATTAAGAGTCGAGCTAATGTTTTCGACTTCGATTTCAAATTTTCAGCCGTGATTTTTTCATAGGGTCTAGATTTGTAAAACTTTATTTTTTATTTTATTTTATAAATTTATTTATTTATTTCTTTGTAGCAAGGTTTACTTCAATGAAATGTTTAATCTGCAAATAACATCTCATGAGAAATGATAGCTTGTAGAAAAGATCCTTTAACGATCCTTTAAGGCCTTTTTGCATTTACCTATAAACATATCTTCTTTTTCTTTTTGTTGCGCTTATGCGTTATATGTTAAAATTACATTTTCACTACGAAATGAATTGTTATGTATAAACTTTCTGATATCAGTATTTAATTAAAATTAAATTATATTTACTTTGATCTGTTAATAAAAATTTAATTAGGTAAAGTTGTAAACGCTTAAAACCCATTGCAACAACACTATTGCAAATTTTGATAACGTTTAGAACATTGTACATAGTTAACCCAGCCAAACTTGTCAAACAGAAAAATGAAAATAGCATTTAGTGAGAACAAATTGTGATTAGAAAATAGTGAGAGTTTGAGATTTTTACACTTTGAGTCGAATAAATTTAACGGATTCAAGACAAAATAGTAATAGGGGGGGGGCATACATCAATAATGCTAAAGCTAACCATTTTCGATGAACCTTTTCTCAGCATCTAAACAAGATATTGAGGCAGTTATCAGTTATTTTTCACAGAATATATTTACATATGCATGTTTACACTGTAATAACTGTTAATGCACGTATTTGGCAGAAATTGTTTTAAAAAATTATGAACCGAGAACTTTTTATATTTTAAAAAGTTTCATCAAAAATCTTTTATAAATCAAAACGTATTCCTGTTAAGGCTAAAACACTATCACAGCAAGCAAATGATAAAACCTCAAATATCCCCCAAAAATTTCAAAGTGATATCATTAGTAGTTTCTTCGAAAAAGTACATCGAAAAAAGTCATTTTTAGCGTTATTGATATATGCTCGACAGACTCCCCTTAAACCTAACTGAATGTAACGAAATGATATTGAATATAAATATTTAACTGCATATTCAAAAATTGTATTTGCACATTTGAATATGTATTTGAATATTTTTCTCGATAAGAACTAGCATTCAGATTAAAGAAACATATAATTAAAATTGATTGGCAGAAATTAAACTTGAGGTAGGAAGTAAAGCATTTTCAGCATTAACATATGTATGTCTATGTATTGCGTATGTAATTTGCCGATTTACAGACTGATTCATTCATGAACGAAATCACTCTTTCCCTTCGTTCTCCATTTTATCCTTCATTCATTCATTCACTTATTCACTCACTATATCAAGAATTTTAATAACGTATGACTTCTATAAAGAACGGTCTTCATATAAACGGAAAATATATAGCAAAATAAATTACGATATCATTAGCAAACTACAATATATATATATATATATATATATATATATATATATATA